AATACTTTGCTCCGCATAGCTCGGATGCAGACACCTCTTGGCTAAACAGGGCGCACGCATTTCAACAGAGGAGGGCTTGAGCCCGTACCACCCAAGCATAGCTGAGCGAGGAGCGCTCCCCGAGCCCAACGGGACAGCCAGGGGTGGTGACAGGGCCGCGCTGGGCGGAGGGGGCTCAAGCCTCTAATTCCTGCCATTCCGAACGCCCCATAAAAAGAGGCACGCTCATTCTTCCCCTCTCCGCCGTGAAACTGGAGCCCTCGCCCCGTTGCCGCGCAATTCCCCCGTGAGGAGCCAGGCAGAGCTTTGGTGGTTTCCGTAACCCGGGGGCCCCGGGCGGCCCACATTCTCCTGGAAGTCAGAAATCACCACGCCACGTCCTCTCCCGGGTGTGGGACTTCACAAACATGAAGAAGCCGGGAGCCGGGCGGGAAGGGCGGGGAGAGGCGGGCTGGGCAGCGAAGGGGGATCGCTCCCCAGCTTCCCCTGGGTGGCCCGGCCCTTGGCACGGCCCGGGAATGTGGGTGGAGAGCGAGGACCTCTTCCGACCACATGTGATAGCTGCTCTCACAAACATCCGAGGCCAAGAAAAAGGAACAGGGCAGGGGGAGGTGCTGAGGACGGAGAGAAAGGGGGTCCGTGGGCGAGGAGAGGCAGCGTGGGGCTCCGCCTGGTTCACTCGGAACCTCGGGACGATGGTGAGGAGCGTGAGAAACGGGCCCTGGGATGCCCAGACCCGCCTCCTCACTGCACAGAGGGTAAACTGAGGGAGGGCGGAGTGAAAGGATGTTTCAGCTGCTGATGTTCTTCAGCGTTCTCCTCCCCGCGCACCCGCCTCGCTCAGCGCAGAGTCCAGCAGCTGGCACCTAGGTTTTGACTCACTGATGGGGAGACAGGCAGGACCAGCTGGCTCATAAGTAAGTGGCAATGGTGGCACACAGACAGGGCATCTCTGGAGTATCTTCCTAATGGTGGTGCTCAACCTGCTGCACCGCAGATTCACCTGGGGAGTTCTTTACAAAAGGATGCCCATGTCCTGGCCAGTGCTGCTTAGTAGTTAGAGCGTCGGCCCGCATACCAAAGGGTCTGGGTTCAATTAATTCCCAGTCAGCGGCACGCGCCTGGGTTGCAGGTTTGATCCCCGGCCTATTTGGGACGTGCAGGAGGCAACCAATTGATGTATCTCTCTTACATCGGTGTTTCTCTCTCCACCCCTGCTCCTTCCCTCTTTTCCACTCTCTCTCTACAAATCAATGGAAACAACTAAAAGGATGCCTAGGCCCCATCCCCGGACAGTCTAATTCAGTGGGCTGGGAGAGGGGCCCTGCACACATGCTTTGGACAGCTTGGCTGAAGCACGGGCCTAAGGAAAGCCCGGGATTCCCAGGCTGGATCCACAATTGCACCGATGAAAGCCTGTGCCTTGGTTGGCCCATCCGCAAAACTGGGCCATCACCTATGGCCGTCGAATGCCCCGCCACCGGCCAGCAGCGCCAGCGTCATCGGGGAGAGTGTTAGAAAGGAGACTCGAAAGTCCACCGGATCAGAGAACCTGCATTTCAGTAAATCCCATGTGACTCATAAGCACATTCAAGTTGACAAACTGATCTAATGCACACTCTTAATTGACACAGAACGGACACTTACGAAATGTCTATTTATCAGGTAGAATTTTACTTATAAGAACACCACCCAGAGAAGAACCACATCGCAGGCAAAAAGATTCAGTGTAGATGTGACAACGGGAGAGCGTGTGTTGTGCTGTGGGATTGGTGACGGGGGTCCACAGAGATCCCAGGGTGGGTCTCTGGCATCACCATAGCCCCTGAGGGCAGTGCCTCTGGCTCCCTTCAGATGACAAAGCTGAGTCTGGCTGGGAAGGGTTAAACGTCCTGTGACCTCCCCCAGCCCCATTTCCCTCTCCACAGGGGCTGCACCCCAGCCCGGAAGGCAGCCCTCACACAGCCTGCCCCCACTTCCCGTGCTGCCAGCTCCCACTGCCGAAGCCCAGGCGGCAAACGCGGTTGGCCAAGGAGGGCAGCAACCAGAGCCAGCTGCTGGGAGCTGTGCTCCGCGGGCACTTCACACCCCGGGCCCTTCGCAGCCAGCACCAAGCACTAAGCCGGGTCTCAGAACTTGGACGTGGCAGCAGCAGCCAAACCTGGCCCCACGAGGGGCGTTTCAGAGGCCACCAAACTGAAGCGGGAGCTGGCAGGGGACCCAGTGGCCGTGGCCTGGCGTGGAAGAGGCTGAGTGTGAACCTCAGAGGGAGGAAGGAGAGGGACGGGCTCTGGGGCTGGGCCCAGGGCTGCAGCAAAGGGCTATAAATCAGATTCGCCAGAAGATTGAAGCTGGTGGAAAAAGACATCCCTGTGGGTGTTAAGGAGGGAAAGGGGCTTGAGAAGCCACGCTCTCTGCTCTTATACTTTGTGAGTCTGGGGTGGTGTGTGGCCAGGAGTCATGCCGCCTGGAAGTCCGCACCCACCGGCCACTTCCTGAGCTGTGAAGGGGAGTGGCAGGGCCCATGGAGGCCCAGCAAGACACGGGTGCTGGTGAGCGGAGGTGGGGGGGTCTGTAAGGAGCTGCACACCCAGCCTGCCTTCCACGGAGCCCAAGTGCCCGGCTCATGCCCCTGGTTATGCCCTTCGAGGGGCCCCCTCCTCAGCTTACATGAAAGCTGGGGTTGGGGGTGGTGAAGAGTGGGAAGGCAAGGACGTTTACATTTCTAAATACCTAACCCACAAATGCTCCTCGCAAGCAAACGCCGTGGGAAGGAAGCTCTCCTCTGCCCAGAGACAAGGGGCCCTCAGGAGGCTTGGCACACCTTGAGCCACAATATGGGGTGAGCCGGTTTCCGAGGACCAGGGGCACCCAGGGGGACCCAGGACGGCTTCATGCCAGGGCCCGGTCGTGGGAGAGTGAGGAAGGAAGAGGCCATGTGGCCCCTCGCACCCTTCCCAGCCCGAGTCATCTCCCACAGCACAGAACCCTAAGGCCACCGCGGCCAGGTGCTAAGCAGCTGAGCCTTGGCCCAGCGAGAGCGCAGAGCCAAGCTCTGGCTGACGGTGTGAACCTGGTTGAGAAGCCCCATTTCTCAGCTTTCAGCTTAGTCCTCTCTCTCTGCGCCCCGGCGTTTGCCAGACGGTGTCTCTCAGCACAGCGGTGTGTGTGTGTGGGGGGGGGGGCGGGGGGAGAGGGGGACGTGGGTGGGGGCTGTGGGGAGGACTGTGCTGAGTTCAAGACAGCCTAACAGGTTCCCTTCCTCTGCTGCGGGCCAGTCCGCGTGTGGACTAATGGAGAGGCCAGTGTCGGGCCACGGAGCCCCTTTTGTGGGTGAGCATTTGCAGGACTGATACCATGTGGGGCACTGTGGGCGAGGCCGCTCTAACCTGGGGTCATTGGAAGAAATGCCTGACTTGGGCAGGATCTTGGGCGGTCCCGTGGTCAGGCTGCCCTTCCCGGCTGGTGCATCACCCCATGCCCTGTGTGTCTGTCTGTCACTGGCTTTGGCGAGGTTAGCGGGATCTGGCAGCCACTGTCCAGAAATCTTGCCCTATCCTGCCCCTTCTCAAGAAAGGACGAAAGCCAAGGCCACAGGCCACAGGCTGATCCCATCCTGGACTCCCTGATGCCACCCCCCACACGCTCCCGGGACATTCCGGCCTGCAAGGAACATGTCCAATGTGCAAATCCCTCAGGTAATGCGGGAATTCGTCACCAGGGGAGCGTGGGCGATCCAGGAATGGGAACCCGATCGGGGCCCGGAGCTGGAGACGCAGCCCAGGCCAGCCAGCGAGGGCTCAGGTTGCAGAGCGGGCTCCTCGGGAAGAGGAGAGGACAGCAGGATGGAGCCCTCTGGGCTGGGCGTGGAGAGGGCTCCTGCCTCCCTGTTCTTAGGGGAAAGACGGCAGACCCCGGGCCAGGTGGTTGAGACCAGGTGGCCATCTGTCCTAGTTCACACCTGGTGTCTAAGGGGGAATGATGAGCAGGGACCCTCTGGCTCTGCACTGTGGTTTGGATGACCCAAAGTACGGTCATCTGATGAAGAGAGACCCGCAGTTAGACTTTTCCAGCCCTAATGCGCAGGACTTGTAAGCTCCTGTTCCCCTGCACTGCAATTCCTATCCCGACTAGTCTGATGTTCAGAATAAAAGTAGAGATGGCTCCTCTCTAGTCAAGGATAGTCCCCGGCCTGGCGTGGCCACCATGCCCTGCTACCTGCTACCTGTCCCTGATGCCACCAGTTCGCCTACTACCACCCCGGGTAGCCCAGCTGGCATCAACAACCCTCCCCCGCCCCCCAGCTCCGCACTTGAGATGAAACTGTGCTGGGTTCAGTCTAAGTGCCCATGCTCCCGCCTACTACACACTCAGATGCAGCCCCCGGGGGCGGAGGGTTTTCACTGGGAAAGCACCAAGGAAAAAAACTATTAAATCACCATGCTCCCCTCTGGCCCATGAGGGTTTCAGGGAGCTCAGAGCACCAGCAGCCAGGCCAGACCTTCCCTGCTCAAGGCCCTTGTACCTCCTGCTCAGACCCATCTAAGCACCAGCTACAACCAACGGCACCACCTCCAGGAGTGGGGGCTGGGGAGCTTGTCCTGGAGACGGGGAGCGAGGAGAGAGAGAGAGAGAAGGCCACCTCAAGGTTGTGTCTACTCAGACGTGAGAGGTCAAAGCACAGGCTGCCGAAGACCGCGAGCCAGCCGCTTATCATGGAAATAGAACGGGGCAGAGGCCGGTTAAACATGACGCACCTATAAAAGTATATTGGGCCACCGTAACCATGGAGCCCTCACACAAACACACGTAAATCCGGCCACTCAGCCCTTGCCCCTTGAGTGCCTTCTTATTTTCTATAATTAATCGGGCAAGGGCGGAACTTGGGAAAAGTTCAACCGTGGTCAGAATTTGCAGCCTTCTCTCTAGTAATAACCCCAGGGGCAGGGTGGGGTGGGGGGAAGGAGGCGGCCGGAGCCGCAGCTGCCGGTGTCGGTTACCTGGAGCATGTTGAGCAGCAGGCTGCGGAACTTGGTCCCCTCCACCATGAAGAGCGCCATCTTGTCGCAGAGCTTGGCGGCCGTGAAGGCGAAGCTGCGGTCGGACACGGCCTTGTGGTAGATGGTCCGCACGATCTCGCCCAGCATCTCCTCGGAGTTGGTGGAGTTCTGGGCCTCCTCCATGAAGGTGCTGAGCTTGGCGTCCACGTCGCTGCTGTTGTTGCGCATGCTGTTCAGGATCTCGATCAGCTTGTCCATCTTGTTCTGCTGGGGGGCGGGGGGCTCCACGGTCACCTCGTCCTGGGGGCAGGCAGACAAACCGAGGTCCTGTGTATGTGTGTGTGAGTGTGTGTGTGTGTGTGTGTGTGTATGAGTTTGTGAGTGTGTGAGTGTGTGTGTGTGTGTGTGTATATGTATGAGTGTGAGAGTGTGTGTGTGTGTGAGTGTGTGTGTGTGTGAGTGTGTGATTATGTGTGTATGTGTATGTGAGTGTGTGTGTGTGTTTGTGTGAGTGTGTGTGTGTGTATGAATGTGTGAGAGTGTGTGTGTGAGAGTGTGTGTGATTATGTGTGTATGTGTATGTGAGTGTGAGTGTGAGTGTGTGTGTGTGTGTGTGTGTTGGGGGCGTGGCCTGTACGAAAGGACCTGGCCCCACCTTCTAAAACCTGGGTCTGGCTCCCCCCAGGAATGCTGACCTCCACCAAGAACCCTCAGCCCAATGCTCTCTGCTGCCCTTGCCCTTGGCCCCTCTGACATCCCTTTGAGTGAGCTCTCCCTCTCATCCAGGATTCTCACGTGTGTGGGTTCTGTTTGTCTACGTGTCCGTCCAAGATCTCAATCCAGAAATGGTTTAATAGGGTTTACAGAAGATGAAATAACAAATAAAAAAACTGGCCCAAACAGAAAAGGAGGGCAGAAAGACTAGGTCGGGAAGGAAGGTGGCATCCAAAATGCTTGCTGTGCTGGTCAGACGCACTATGGAGTAGCTCTAGGCTCCTGGAGCCCACAGTGGTTGTGTTCTCTGGACATAGGGCTCCCTGTGGCCACGGCCACGGCCACGGCCACGGCCACCACTTTGTGTCCCTACGGAGACTGGGCTGGCCTTGTACCCACAAACACTACACACCAAAGAACCCTCCAAAATGATGGGCCCTTCCAGGAGGAAAATCTCAGGTAGAAAGCCTACAGCCTCCTGAGGTTTCAATGCCACGGCCCCAGAGGCAGGCGAGAGGAGGAAAACGGCCGCTGACAGTCACAAAAGTACTTGCTCAGGCACAACAGGCTGGTGGCCGAGAGTGTGAGGGACTTAAGTGCTGGGGTGTGAGGGCTGGTGATGGGCAGGTCTGCACTGGCCTCTGTTCTCAACAAGGAGAGCTCTGGGCTGGGGCAGGGAGCGAGGTTTCGGAACCTGCTTTCTGCTTGCAGGATGTGGTGTCACTCTCCGTAGTGACACCACTTGGGCAGTGGTGTCACTCTCCGTACCTCCATCGCCCCCAGACATGGCCTCTTCCTCTTTCCCCTCCCTTTTCTGCTGGGGGCTGGTACCACGAGCCCACTTGAGGGTCCAGAAGCTGAGGAGGGGCTCATACCGGTGCCAGGGGTCCCTAAGGCAGTGGCGGCTCCTGCTTCTCTCCACAGGACACCCCAGGCCCTCAAACCCGCGCCCACCCACCAACGTGCCCGCCTCACACGTGCTCCCTGGTGGAAGAGAACAATGAAAATGCAATTACCGGCCCCTTTTCCTTCAGCCTCCGCCGCAGCCTGTCTTTGGAAGACGGGAGCAGGGTAACTTTGGGCCGCTCCCCAATACGCTCGGGGGTAACACTGTCTTTACGCTTTGCTTCGGCCTCCGGGGCTCCTGGCTGCTGCAGGGGCAGCCTCTCAGAAGCAGCTGGGGCTAGGCCATCGGGGCTGTGGGGGGGCTCGAGGCCACTGTGCCCGGTGTCCCCCAGGGCGTCCTCAAGCTTGGGGCTGTCCGCGGTCACGGTCTCTTTAGCACTGCGGTGGGTGCTCGCCTCCCCCTTGTCACCGGGCGGGTGCTTCATGTTGCCGTGGTGCCAGCGCCGGTTCTGGCTGTAGCCGTGATGGGTGGGCCTCCCTGAGGGGTGGGGCGCCGAGCCCCCCTGGTAGGACTTCTGGTGGTCCCTGTTGTGTTTGGCACTGCCCGGCTGGTGGTCGCCGTGCTGCTGGGGCTTGCTCCCTCCTGGAGGCCTCTGCTGCCGCCTGCAAACCACAGGGAAAGACAGAGAGGGTCACTGGGTGGGCTGGGCAGGGTCCCTGCATCCAAACACTGAGAGAGGGGTTTACCGAGCTGCTCCTTTAGTCATTCTGCCAACACCCCCACGGGGTGCCTCCCGTGTGCCAGGCTCTGTGACAAGGCCTGGGATTCAGCAGGGAATGAGATGACAGGTCCCTGAGATTATAGAGGGGTTAAATCAATCCTTGGCTAAAATAAGTATTTTATTCCCCTGGTAGAGTATACATTAGCATATGTGTGGGGAAGACAATTAAAACGGTACAATAGCTGGGCAGTGCGCCCTCCTAACTCTGTCTGCAGCCACTCTGTGTCCTCTTGAAGCGACTGTTATCATTTTGTGAATCTTCCAAACATACTCGATACCTGTCCTGGCAAACAATATACACACAGACCTGCATCTGATAACAACTATCCTGATAACGACTTAAAAAAAAAAATCCTCAACCAAGGACATGCTTAGAGAGAGGAAGGGAGAAAGAGAGAAACATCAATGTGAGAAACATCGATCGGTTACAGGGGCTCAGACCCACGACCCAGATATGAGCGCTGACTGGGAGTAGAACTGGCAACCTTTCGGTGCCCGGGACGATGCTGCTCAACCAACTGAGTCACGCTGGCAGGGCTCCTGGTCATGACTGTGAACCATAATGACTCTTGAAAAGCTGTATCATTTGTTAAACAACTTTTTTTTTTTTTCATTTTTTTTACATTTTTACCCCCCAAACACAATTACAAAATATGCTATAATTATAAGCTGCACTGTGCTCCTACCACCTCAGTTCATGTGTCAAAGCCCCAACCCCCAGAACCTCAGAAAGTGACTGTGTGTGAAGACAGGGCCTTCCTGAAGGCGATTCCGTTAAAAGGAGGCTGTTAGGATGGAGCCCAATCCAATGTGACTATTGTCTTTATTTTCAGAATGTTTACTTATTGATTTGAGAGGGAGAGGGGGGTGGGGCGCTGAACCCCCCTGGAAGGACTCCTGATGGTCCCTGTTGTGTTTGGCACTGCCTGGCTGGTGGTCGCTGTGCTGTGCCACTTATTTATGCATTCACTGGTTGATTCCTGTACATACTCTAACTAGGGATCGAACCCGCAACCTGGTGGGAATGCTGCTCTAACCAAATGAGCTACCCATGCTGTCGTCTTCCTAAGAGATTAGGACGGACGTGCTCATGCACAGAAGGAGGACAATGTGAGGACACAGCGAGAAGGTGGCCATCTGAAAGCTGAGAAGAGAGGCCTCAGAAGGAAACCAAACCTGCCGACATCTTGATCTTGGGTCTCCAGCCCCCAGAACTGTGAGGAAATAAATTCCTATTGTTTAAGCCACCCAGACTATGGTAATATTGTTATGGCAACCCAAGCTGACAAACACAAAAGTGATATTTAGCATAGTGACTTTATGGGAAGACAGGCTCACCAATATACTTGACACAATACTTGCTAAGCAGGGCATACCACATGGGACAAATTTGGGGGGTGTGCCACAGGGCAAGCCAAATATTTTGATTTGTGGATTGAAGGCAAGCGATTTGGGGGGCGAATTTTGGTGATCTTTCCATCTTGTGCACAGGGATCTCCCGTCCCCGGAAGGCCTGTGTTCCATCTCCTTCTGTGCCCGGCTTCATGGGAGTGCCGTTGGAGAACAAGATAACCACGAGCCTCTCAAAAGCTGTAAAGTCAGAAAGACGTTAACTTCTAAAACATGAGGCCCACACCATCCTCTGGGACCAGCCTTGCATTGCATCTCATGAATGGATTACATTTATTCCCTTTCGCATTATCATCACTGACATAAACTCAACTTGAATGTTCACTTGATAATTTTGCATCTGTGAAAATTTAGGGGTACCTTGGGCTGGGGTTGAACACCATTTTCCCATTAAAATGAATTAAAAAAATATATATATTTGATAACAATTTTTTAAAACAGCTTTCTCGAAGTGGCAGGGTTTTCAGGGAAAATTAGTTGTTAAGGCAGAGACAGGTGTATGGTGTTCATTTTGTTCCCGCACAAATGATGAGTTATAATACACTGAGTACAGTAGTTCCCCTTTGTCTGCAGGGGAGATATGCCGAGACTCCCAGGGGCTGCCTGAACCCTCGATACACTATGTGGCTTCCCCCCCATTACATGCAACATTCTCACTTAAAGGAAGCACTTCCCGGCTTCTCTGTGGCATATCCAAACGGTCAGTGGCACTGCGCTTGCACTTTGGGGCATTAAGTAAAACAAGAGTGGCTTGAACACGAGCACGGTGATACAATGCCAATCGATTTGATAACCAAGGTGGCCACTAAGTGACTAAGTGGTGGTGGGGGCACGGAACAGCGTGGAGACACGGAACAAAGGGGCGATTCATGTCCAGGGCGGGAGGGAGCGGTGGGATGGTGCGTGATTTCATCACGCTACTCAGAGTGGCATGCAATTTAAAACGTATGAATTGTTTATTTCTGGAATTTTCCATTTATATTTTTCAGACCAAGGTTGACCCTGGGTAACTGCAACTGTGGCAAGTGAGACCGTGGATAAGGGGGACTGCTGTATGAGCAGCAGACATCGGTATGGCTCTGGATGGAAATTGGACAGTTGGTCACAAAAGCCTCTATGACATGCAAACCACTGGACCTTGCACGGCAAATCCACTTGTGGCAATTTACAAAGGAAACAACCCAAGACGTGCATAGGGATGCAGGTACAAGGATGCTCCTAACAGCCATGCTTGTAGTAGCAAAGAAACAAGATGGAGCAACTAAGAACGTGGTGAAGGAGTTCACTCTTGTTGATGGAAGAAAGCACGTGTTGCAATGTGTGCAGCACAAGTCCGTTTTTTTTTTTTTTTTAATTTTAAGGCAAGTATTTATATGCATATAAAAATCTGGAAGGATACATGCCAAAATGTTAACAGTGGTTTTCAAAATGAACATGCATTTATTTTTCTAAACTTTTTATATAGAGTCCCACGCAGTTGTAGGAAATATTGCAGAGAAATCTTTTATATCCTTTACCCCGTTTCTTTCCATGGAAATGTCTTGCAAAACTACAGTACAGTATTGACACTGATACATTCAAGGTACAACACATTTCCATCACCGCAAAGATCCTTCATCCTCCTCTTTAATAGTCACACTCGCTTCCCTCCCACTGCCCCTCCTTAGCCACCAGGAACAACTCATCTAGTCTCATTTCTACAACGTTGTCATCTCTGGAATGTTACATAAATGGAATCAAAAGCCCATTGGGACTGACTTTCTCTACTCAGCATAATTCCTGGAGATTCGTCCACATGGCTGTGTACATCAACAGCTCATCCCTTTTCACTGCTGGCTAGTATTCCATCATGTGGATGTACCAGTGAGTTTAACCATTTACCCATGAAAGGACAGCTGGCTATTTCTGGTTAGTGGCTATTACGCATAAAGCTGCTAGGAACACACGTGTACAGGTTTCTGTGTGGACGAACACAGTGTCTGTTTCTCTGGGATAAAATGGAGCCTGGGGGCACCACTGCTGGGCCCCAGGGTGGTTGCGTGTTTATTTTTTTACGACAATGTTGAACAGTGTTCCATCTGACATTCCGTCAGCAATGCAGGAGACGGTCCCTGGCATTCCTCGCTTTGGTACTTTCTCAGCCCCACCCAGTCCCGCTTCTCCTTTCTGGACTCTAACGACTGTTCGTTCTTTTTCAGTCCATTTCTCTCTGTGGCTCAGACTGGATCGTTTCTATGGCTCTGCCTTCCAGGGCACCAGCTCTTCCCTGGCTTCCCTCTGTGCTGCTGCTGAGCCTATCCACTGTGTTAATTTAACTATTACGTTTTCATTTGGTTCTTTGTTATATCTTCTTATTTATTTGCCAAGGTCTATTTTTCACTTTGTTTCGAGCGTGTTCCTGATTTGTGCTTTGCAGCTTTTTGATGTTGGCTGCTTTGAAATCTTAGGTGATTCTAACATTTCTGTCATCTCAGTATTGATATCTATTGTCTCCTTTCATTCAACTGAGGTTTCTGGGCACGACAAGAGGTTTTCGGTTGAAACATGGACATCTTGGGTATTCTGCTGTGAGACTCTCATCCTGTCTCCTCTGACCCTGCTCTGGTGCTGGGAAGGGCTGTTCTGCCTCGTGGCTGCCAGGAGGGGGGCAGAGGTCAGGTTCTCCCTGGGCTTCCTCTGACACCCCAAGGGGTGGGAGTTCCGGATGCCCACAGGGTGTCTTGTTCACCCTTCTGGGGAGGAGGGTGGAGCCTCAGCCCCTCACTTGGCCTTTGCTGGCATGGGTGGGGATGGAGTGAGTATATTCTGGGGCATTTGCCTGGAGCAGAGCAGCTATTGTCTAAATTTCCTGTCTTGTGACCGATGCCCCTTTCCTGGCCCTTCGGCTACGAAGGGCAGGCTTCTGTTTGGGCTTTTTGGGTCTGCCTGTGCTTATTGACATTTTGGGTTGCCGGCTTCTCTAGCTCCAAGTCTAGGATCTATGAGGCCAAGAGAAAAACTCAGGCCAGTCACTATCCTGTCATTCCTCAGGTGCCACGGTTGCAGCCAGTCTGCCTTCTCTCCACCTTTCGGAGCCCTCTTACGCTTGTTTTGATAGATAATGTCCAGGGGCTTTGTTGTCTGTATTATTTTAGTAATTTAAGAGTCATTATAGAAACATTTACAGCAGCCTTGTATGCTGAATGTGAGGCCTGCGTGGTATTTTCATCCTTGTCTGGGTTCGATCTCAATGGGCTACTGCTTTAAGTTCCCGACGATGGTCAGTTTGGTGGACGGCAGGGGAGGCTCACCAGCATGGACACGCAGGGAAGAGATGGGCCCCATCAGCCAAGCCAGCCACGGAGTCAGGCTCCTCCCAGGGATCACCACTGGCCCGGAGAGCAGCTCCATGGCCCGCCGCCTCCCCAGGGCACCACTCGCCTGTGACTTTGGTGAATTCTCCCTACTTATATTCTTAAATTACTTTTAATT